TTCCATATTTTATTTTGACCATTTGTTTGCATCTCTGTTTAGTGGGTTGTTTTGTTCATGTTATGATAAGATAAGCTATGTTGTTTTTGAGAACCCAAAAAAAACAATTAAGAGGTTCTAGTCGGGAGCTCCCGACTAGGGGATACCCTGAACCCTCTTATTCCAACACCAAATACAGCTCGCGCTACGCGCTCGTTTGCTTTAATAAAGATAAATTAAAATAAAAAACAGTTCCCTCGCTAGGGTTCGAACTCTCACAGACCAAACTACTCGCCGCCGCCTCTACCCAACAGCCACACCAATACTTAAGTCTTAGTGAGAAAAAAAAACCAATTTAAATAGCAGCGCAGAAAACAATAAAATCGCAACTGCAATGCTCTTGATAGAATTCAAAGAAGACGCGCATGAATGTGTGTGTGTACATGTATACAGAAATTCTTGCAATTTGCGCTTGCTGCCGCAAACACGTGGGCAGCCGAAACACATTTTCTTTCTTTTTAAACTTATCTTGATGAAATTTTCTACAGTACATCATACTAGAGAATATTCGTGTATTATCAAAAAGTCAATTTCATTTAAATTGTGGCTTATATTGCGGGCAGCATAAATTGGTTTATTTACTTGATTTATAGCTATGAGGTAGTAGCGGGGAGGTGGTGATAGCTATAAAATGAAAGATACTTGATATATATATACTATTCTAGAAGCTACATGTCAAGTTTGGTGACTCTAGCTCATATTATTTACCAAAATTGCTCAAAAAACAGGATTTCGACATCGATTTTTATCGATTACTTAGAAACGGGGTAAGTTATCGAATATCGGAAACAAACTCGATCTGCGCGGGCACTAGGAGGACCTACAGCTAACATTGCAAGCTCTCTTGCTCTTATAGCGGACAATGCTAGATCGACTCGGCTCTTAATGCTGATCAAGAATATATGTACTTTATGGGGTCGGAGATGCTTCCATCTGCCTGTTACATACATTTGGACAAATACATTATACCCTTCTTACCCATTTTCAATGGGTTCAGGGTATGAAAAATTGGGAGTCTTCAAATATGTTTATTTTTACTGTGCTTATCTTCCATTTTGAGGCTAAAACTTTTCAGCAGAAATTTTCGATAGCAATTAAGATAGTTACCAGGTTAAAGTTCAAATGCAGTTAAAAAAATCGTGTGATTTTAATGAACAAAAGAATAGAAAAGAAGGTTTTGTAAATATGTAAATAGTGAATTAGAATTGAGGTGTAGAACAAAGCTCGTGACTGATACCACTGCAAATGTTGCGAAGAATCTAAATTTTGTGGGTCCCATCTTCTCTCAAGATCTGGACATTATCCTAAAACTTAGATCAGTATGCAGAGTGACATAAAGTTTACTTTACGTTATTTAAGGACGCAAATTTCCCGGATAAATATTTATCGATCATCTGACCGAAATTACTACTATATTTATGCTCCTCCCATTGGCCATTAGAATAGTTTTGTTCTAAAAAAATATGCGTGAAACTACCACGCAAGTTCTTATCGATAGGCTCTCAAATTACCCACCAAAACTGTTTTGGCAGAGAGAACGGCAGAGCCTCTATTGATGGTGCTAAAATAGCAAATACAATAATCGTTGTTATTCATTAATAGTTACAAATCGGGGCTTATCAGCGGTCGCCAAGCGAGATCTCATAAAATGCCTGGTCTATCGACACAAAAGGTGCCGTTTTATGATCATATATACATATATATATTTTTTACTCCTATAGAGGGTATAATAAATTGTTCATGAATCGTGCTTCATACTGCAGGAGACATATCCCTTTACATAAGGCCCACATATGCTTGATCATTTAGACTGCTCCTAAACCTTTATATTTCCAGTTTTAGAGCTGCCTTGATGATGTTAATTTTGATTTGATCCGTACTTATCATGAAGGGAGTATATATGCTGGAGTTTCACAAGCACAAGGACAAGCAACCATCGGTCAAATTCAGAATGGTGTATAAAAAGTTTTCTTTCTTAAATATCTATTTGTAACTTACTTAACACACATATAAGCGAAATTATCATATGCTACTATATGAATTATCGTTTCAAAACTGAGCTCTTAAACAAACATTTAGGTAAAATCTTATCTACAGCGGACTAATCAATAACATTTCATTTGATTCGCTATATTTCTGCAAGTGTATTTGGTGTTCGGTATTCTAAAGATGTCTGTTCTTTTGCGTTTCAGTTGATTTGCTTTTATAAATGTATATAGGTCTTCTCAGTCCGTGCAGTTGTTCGCGGCTGCTCGTCGTCACTAGTGGCACCACTTAAATTAATAAGCCGGAACCGGTATAACTAAAGCGGAATATCGCCAACATGTTACAGCCGGGGAAAGGGGAAACGCAGAATGGCAAGAATGGCCCAGCAGCTAATAAAGCAAATGGTGCCGTGGAGAGCAGTAAGTCGGAAATAGTGGCTCCACCAAGCAGAACGCGACATGTCTCGTGCGGAGGTGAGGAAATCGTTGATCCCTTCTGTGATCCCAAAAATCCGCAGCGCATTTCTTTCCATGATGTTACATCGGCCGCCTTTTTGATAAAAGGTGGAGTGGAGCGCACCCCGTGTCCAGTAAGTTATCAGATGATGTCGAGACTGTAGCTTAATAATTCATTCGCAGAGGTCCACATCGTCAGACACATACGGCATGGATTTATTTTTGAAAAAGGACTTTTTACAATATACTGGCAGGTAAGTCAGTTAATAGAGCTAAAGAACTTCATACTAGGTATATATTAGTCGCATAATCTTGTAAATTCTAATCTGAAATTCTAATGACTTGTTTAAAAAGAAGAGTGATCTAGCCGGGAGGGCCCGACTAGAAGGAACCCTGTATTCAGTGCCTACTGCTTAGCATTCCAACATTCCTTAATACATACATGTGTACACAAAATAAACACACCCACGCTCGCACGTCGCAAGCTGCTCTCTTTGGGAAGAGGCTGCTCGTCTTCCATTAGCCCGCACTTTAAGAAAAAGCGTTCTTAAAAGATTTCGTTGCCTGCATTCCAATCTATTAGAATGTTTTGGGGCTTGATAAATTCGAATATACATATATCAAAGGGCAGGTCACGCTTTTGGGAGTGCGGTTTGTGTTATTTTAAATGTGAACTATTTGTATAACATATATGACTTCTGTATGTTATATATACTTTGAAACCGATATTTTTCGATACTATTATATTTTTTTGCGTATGATAGACAAGAATATATATTTGAAATTTTATCTTGGACGGACGAACAGAAAGACATGTACACATATCTATATCTTTATTTTATATATAAATATATATATTTTTTTTTTCATGAGGTTGGGGAAGCCACCTTGTGCCTGTTACATACAATAAATCATCATACCAATTTGTACCCATTAATGGCTACAGGGTATAACTAATAGACGTAGGTCCAAAGTACTCAAACGGAATCTTCTTTTTTATAGAACTCTTTATAATATTGACTTAGTACATATTAATGGTTATAGTCTGGAATGAGATTTTCCGTTTAGCGATAAGATTTGTACAAATAATGGGCGCATATTAGATTAATAGACACACCGAAATTAATGATTGATTGTGCTTTATATGATTTTTAATTGTATAATAATAGCTGTTCAACTAATAGTTAAACTACCTGAATTAATTTAAACGTTTTTAGTCGTGATTATATATTTTTGTCTTGAACCTTCCATTGGCTGAAGTGGGTTATCAAGTAAAATACTTATTTATAATGGCGTAATTGAATTCGATTCCAATTTAGAAAATATTAAACACTAACTCCGATAAGATTGCAGTAAGCTGAATTCATAATAATGATCAAATTAATTTTTTGCTAATTAGTTTCACTTAGTAGGCGTGATACGGCATTATCATTTGCCTAGTACGTACCGACAAAATATCTGGGAAACCACGCACATATCGGCAATTAAAAAGCAACGTTTAAATAATTTAATTTCTAGCTTTAAAGAGCGGGGAGCGAGGTATACACTTCTCTGCCTGTCTGAGGAGCAAAAACGCATGGGAGTAATCAGTGCCTCGTTGGGAAATCATGCTCTGGCATTATGCTACCATGGCTGGAAATTATCAATACCGGTCACCGTGGTGATGCCAAAAGCAGCTCCTATTATGAAAATACAAAAGTGTCGCAATTACAAAGCTCGCGTGGTAGTTGAGGGCCAGGATATGGGGGAGGCTAAGTCGTTGGCCATGCGCATGGCACGAGAAGAACAACTGCTATATGTAAATGGCTATGATCACCCGCACATAATGGCCGGACAGGGTACCATTGGCTTAGAAATTCTGGAGCAGGTGCCAGAGCCAGATGCAGTTGTGGTGCCGGTGGGCGGTGGTGGACTTATCGCAGGCATTGCGACAGCTGTTAAAGCGCTCTCGCCCAAGACAAAAATAATTGTAAGTACAAAAATTTACTTGACTCTTGTTCAATGGATAGGCAAAAATTTCTCTAGGGTGTTGAATCAGAGAAGTGTGCGAGCTTTACACGTGCAATGGAACACAAAGGGCCCATAAGCACGCCCATCAAAAACACGTTAGCTGATGGCTTGGCCGTTCCCAAGGTCGGAGTTAACGCATACGCCACAGCATTGCCACTAATTGACCGCATGGTGGTGGTGAAAGAGGAGTGGATAGCGGTGGCCATCTTACGTCTAGTGGAGGAGGAAAAGTGCGTGGTGGAAGGTGCTGGCGGTGCTGGACTGGCTGCCATACTTGCTGGCCATCTGGATGATCTAAAGGGCAAGAGGTGCGCATCTCCAAGTCAAGGCCCCTAGCTTCTCCATAATGATTCATACTTGATTTGATTTCCAGAGTTGTGGTGCTCCTCTGCGGTGGTAATATAGACACCACAGTCTTTGGTCGATGCCTGGAGCGTGGTCTGGCAGCTGAGGGTCGTTTGGTCAAGTTCAATGTGGAGGTCAGTGATCGTCCCGGAGGCATAAATGACCTATGTGCGCGGCTTGTTCGAGTAGGTGTATCAATTAAGGACATTATGCATGAACGAGCCTGGCTACGCGATATTTATACGGTGGAGGTCAAAGTCGTCTGCGAAACGGTGGACTGGGCGCACAGTTTACAGCTAAAGGACGAGCTTAAGAAATTCTATACCAAAGTGGAGTTTTCCGACGTTCCATTGGCAATTAACAAAGAGCTTTAGATAAACTTTATACTTATTTATAAATATACTATTTTGAACATTTTTTTTTTACATTTTATTGCACAAAATTTACAGTCATGCAAATATTTGAGCTTAAAATTAGAGCTTGAATGTATATTAATAAAGTTGTAAATGTAGTATAAATGTAAATAGCATTAAATAAATATACAAGTTAATAAAAAGCCATTTCAAGACCCCATAAAGGAACAGGAAACAGCAAGACTGAATAATTTACAAATGTTTTAACTTAAATACCAACTACTAAAATTATAAATTCAAGGGCATAAGCTAGGAGTTCACCAAGCACACATTGAGTTTCGAAAAGTTCTCTGGCTTCTTTTACTGCTGTTTTTGGCACAATAAGGATTCGTTACGACAAATCGGACAGGATCACGCAAATGCATACACACATACATGCATATACACTCAAGCAGGCACACATATATGTAAAAATGTACAGTTACACGACTATAAAATATATGCATATTTATATAAATATCGTGTATGTGCTAAAAATATATATGTTTATATAGGTAATTATCTTATAATGTATGTATACTATATTTTATAAATACAGGCATTTCGTTGCTTAGTTCTAAAACGTTTCATACTTTAAAAGCGCTTACTAAGAACTACATTGAGTATGCTTTAGAAATAATTACAGCTGCAGAATATATTGAATTGCTGCTACGCCTAGTGACTATTTTCCAGGCGCAGGATAAGCGCATCAACCACGTTGTAGATCTCATCAAAATGCGGACGAGACTCGACATCAGCAGCCCAGCACTTAAGCATTAGACGGTACATTTCCGGCGGCGTGTTCTCCGGGGTAGGCATTCGATACCCTGAAAATGTAAAAGTGCAATACATTCAAGTTAATAGAAATAGGAAAATAACTAAAAATGCTCCTGAGAACTTTGGACCCACAGACTTTAATGTCGGAAATCAGTGAAAATCATAAAAACATCATATTACCAAGTATTCACAGAACGTGTTTTACAAAATTGTTATCTATTCAGATACATGCGTAAAAAGCGGTACCGCTCTTTAGAAAATGATTTAAAAATTATTTACTTAAAGGATTTTCACTTCGAAATATGGTACATGTACAAGTTTTCTATAAGGTGTGTTACGTTTGAGTCACCATTGTTTTTCGCGTTAATTTTAAATTTATAGCATCAACAAAAACTCGTTCAATGTCTGGTAAAAATATTAGCTAGAAAATTTATGAACGTCATAAAAATGCCTCCACTTTAGTATACCTAACTGCCTACCTATGGCAATTGGGAAATTAAATGTATGCAAAGATTTTTAATAAGTTACATTTAACTAAGGATACAGATACAGATATTTACAGATATATGAGAAATATTTCGTAAATGGTGAAGTTTGCAGAAAATATATTAGATACCGATTCTTGCTTATAAGTATATCCATATAGTTGTGAGATCTTGATAAGAATTTGCTTATATGTAAGAAGCATAGTGAAGATATATTGATAAGTAAAAACATTTTTCATACAAAAACTTAATTTTTAACCTTTCGATCCTCTGGAAACTATATTATATATTGGTCCAAGGCTCGTAGATCGCCTTCTATGCGCAACACATTTCTATAATACCCTCAACAAGGGTATACAAAAATTTACTGCTAATTTAGATAATATTCATTAAGTATTGCATATTACCAGTTCTCTTTTTCGAGTTTTAAAATCAATACGGTACGGATATATTCCTATCTGTTATGTTTACTTACAAAAGTTAATTATAGTCGTTCTTTATTTATCTCAAGGCGATATTTTTTGATTAATAAGAGTTGTGTTGACTATATACTGTACCTGTATCGATGCGTTCTCTGGCACGTGAATTGCTCATTCCTGAATATGGAGTATCACCCTTGGAGAATATTTCCCACATAAGAATGCCATACGACCAAACATCGCAGAGTGATGTGTATTTGCCAAAGTTAAGCGCTTCGGGGGCGGTCCACTTAACTGGTATTTGCTTCATGCCATCAGAAACTATTTCAATAAGAATAAATTTAGTTGGATGGCTTATTGGTTCATTATGATTCAGATATAATGAGCATCAGCTTAGGACGGTTGTTGTACTCACCTATGTATTCTTCTTCTTCGCGTGACATACCAAAATCGGATATTTTTACGCTATGCTCGAAGTCCACAAGACAATTTCGAGCTGCCAGATCGCGATGTATGCAGTTCTTGGATTCGAGATATCGCATGCCTTAAATCAATGTCCCGGTTAGCCCAAGTAACAACTAGGTAGATGTAAATCTTACCTGCAGCCGCATCTCTACACATTCCCATCTGTTGGCGTGTGGACAGAGCATTAGAGTTTTTGCGTAGATAGTTTAACAAGGAGCCACCTAAAAAGTGATGTTTTAAATATCGTTAGATCCAATATAACTTGATTGTAATCAATCATATAGATTTACAAGGCTCCCAAATATATACATATATGAAATAAATCGCGTATCTGTAAGTCTGTCTGCAAATGTATTTAACTTTTGGCATCCCACATATAAACCCTTTCTATTTATTTTAAACAGTTTTAAAATGGGATTGTATAAATGAATTGCTTAATTATATTTGAATATGTATATTTGCTTACCAGGCACTAATTCCATGACAATCATAATAGGTTGTTTTTGCACACAAATACCAATGAGCTTGACAATATTTGGATGATCATATTGTTTCAGGATGCGACCTTCCTGCAAGAACTTGCGTTTTTGTTCGTCGGGTAAGGTCATGCGGCAGGTTTTAACAGCCACATCCTGTTTCGTAGATTTTAACTTGGCCTTGTAGACATCTCCAAAATTTCCCTAAGAAAATTACATTTTAATAAGCTCCAATTGCAGATCAATAGATAAATGTGCATATACCCTGCCGATCTTTTCCAGGAGAACCACATCATCGTTGCTTAGCTCCCAGCGCTCACGACACACGGGTCGTCGCAAAATCGCGCCTGATTTAACAGTAACCGGCAACTCTGAATGATACTGATGCATGATCAGCTCTTGTATGCTGGGAAAGGGAGGGCCCTCGAACCGAAAGTGTCCATCTCCAGTCGTTTGCACTATGAAATGTTTGTGGCCATTCCAGCAGACGCTCAATACAATTTGGCTCTCCTCGTTGCGAATGGTTTCGCGCACCAGGAAGTCACCATCGTTGTTTAGCAGACGTACGACCTCCTCGCGAGGGAGGACGCCATGGAACCACTCCTCCTCATATAGTGGTCGATTCGTAGATAGCGAGAGCTGAAAGCAGTATGATAGCAACGATTAGTTAAATACATTTTAGAAATATATCTATTCTCAGGTTAGTCAAACATGCAAAGCACAAATAAAATATTTAGCACGCCATTTCCATTTCCATTTTCATGTCCAAACGGAAGTGTGTGGGTGGAAATATCTCTGACGAGAGTGCAGAGGCATTTAATGCCAAAAAAGCATTATTCAGACATATATATATATGCAAAATATATAAATTAATTACAGTTTGATGCATAATTATTACTTATTACTTCGTTTATAAAAAAATTACATGTTTACGTTCAAGGCCTTTGAGTCACTTACAAACATTTTCGATTTAGGTCGATTCCTGCGCACCGGCGGCACTGGGCGACCGGCAAAGACCATAGACTCAAAGATTGCACTATCTGCAGTGCCATTGGTACTGCCACTACAGCTGTGGTTTTCGCCGGAAGCGGTGCTACTCATGATGAGGGCCCAAGCTCAACTATTTGCGCAATACTCTTGATACCAAGGCAAAACACGCGCGCACTCTATTTCTATTAGAAGAAAATTATTTCCAACTTTTCTCTGGCCAAACAGACGCCAAACATTTCCACCTATGTACCATATACATATGTATATATGTATGTAGGTATATTCTTAACAGATAAAACGTCTGGCGCTAAACGTCTTGGCTGCACGCGAGATCTGAGAAAACTGATTCAATATTTGGACTGCGTCCATGCTCTTAACTCTTAAATGTGTCCCTCTCTTGATACGCACAAGTATATTTAGCAGTAGATTCAAGGGTCTTTCATCAAGTTAACAAAAATTTTAGTGGAATGATTTATTTCTTGTGCAAAATTTTGGGTTTTGGGTTCTTAAAAATACAAAAAATATTGTTAAACATTTTGTGTTAAAGAAGTCTTTACTTTAGTCTTAGTTTTTTATGCGTATAAAATGCGTTCAGAAGGTATCTTTCACGATAAAATTTAATATTTTAAATTCGCATACTCTTGAACAAATAGTTTTTCATTTTTTTAAAGTTTTAAATAATTAAGGTTACTTGTTTTTTTTTCGAATTTAAGTATATATATATGTATGTACTTTATAAGAGGTCCTCGCTCGCATTAGCGTTTTCGTGCTCAAAATAATAAATGGTTAGAGTGCGCAATGTGTTTTATTTTTGATATCTTTTGTCAAGCCTTTTCTACGCATTCAATATTGAAGGCAAAAGTTGAACAGAAAATTGAACATGCAAATCAAAAAACATGCAGGCTGCGACTACGAATAGATCAGGCGAGGTGGTGTGTCGCTCTCTAGCGACAGTGCTTATTAAGATACTGTTGGAGGATTGGCCTGGATGTTGATCTCGACCTTGGCTCGCTACTCACACTCGCCGCCAAGCTGGGCACACAATAGCAATGCTCCTTTATGCTGAGTACATCGTCGCTGCTGCTGTCGTTGTTGGCGTCCTCCTCTTCATCGTCCAGTTCCTCGGAACTATGCACTTCAAAGGATCGCTCTTTTTGGCAGGACATTCGCATGGCTTTTGCTTTTGTTTTTTGCGCCGGTGCTGGACAGCTACAGAACTGCTCCAGCTCGGCCTGCTCTAGTGGATTTGTCTCGAACTCCCTGGCAAAGTCAAACACGCTTTTGCAGGGATGAATGCGTCGGCGCTTAGTACATTGCTTGCAGGGCTTGGAACGTCTCATCTGAAAGCTGAGCAGTTTGGTACGAAATGTGTTTCGTATGGCTTTCGATTTCTTTTGTATTTTTGGCACTTTGAATTTCAGTCTTGAGGTTTCCTTGGACGGCGTCATTTTCGATGTGGTTGTTATGGTCGTTGTTATGGTGCTGGTAATGATTGTCGATTGGCAGGGATTACGATTGTTGTTGTTATTTATGTGAATACTGTTACTATTACTGTGTTGAGTGTGAGATTCACTGCTATTAGACAGTTGGCTCGGCTCTCTTAGATGCCTTGAAGTATCTGGCTTCTCGTTAAGAGCCGCATTTTTGGCCATGCGTGCTAATGGGCTTTTGGAGAACTCCCTAATGTTGCTTATTATGTTACTAATGGACTTTTGCGTGAAGGACAGTGAGCGTTTTTTGGATTGACCACCCTCTTTGGAGCTTAGCTGCGAGGAGCGGCACTCCGAGCTAGAACTGGAGCTGCGCTTGGCCTGGCTACCGGTATCCGGGTCAACCTGGCGTGATTGCACAGGTATATCATCGGCGCTCTCAATGGCATTTACATCTCCAGGGGTTATGGGCTGCATACTACGCTTTAAGCGATCGTCCAGTACGCGATTGAGCTCGTCAATCTGGTCCAGGTGCGCATCGATAGAGCCCTGTGGCGCTGCCTGTGATTCGTCCGATTCAACCTGATTGATTTCAATCTCAATCTGATGACGCTTTACTGCCAAATCATTTTCGCTAACAATGCTGTCTGCGTCCGCATCGACTAGAGCGCTTGAGGGTTTGTTGTCCAATTCCACGTCCGCATAGATGTGGTTGTTGTTAGTGTTAGTAATGGCAGCATTGGTTAATATGTTTAAGGGCGTGGGCTTGGTCGAGGCCGCTGGCAACGGCTCAAGCGGCTGGTCGTCCTCGCCCAAACACAACATGGAACATTGCGTGCGCCGTAATCGAGGCAGCGCCGGCGGTGTCGCGCTCAACACAAACTCCTCACCGAGATAGTGTACGCTGACCGCCAGACGCAGTGGGTTAGTAACTGGCTCGTAACGTGCAGGACTACGCGCATCCGTAATTACCGACAGCGATCCCAGGCTTTGTGAGCGGGGCTGCAGCTTCGAGAATCTACCTTGGCGTGCTCTTGCCATGGGCGTAGTTGGCTGTGGAGTCGACTTGCGCTTGAAATGGCGACCTCGTCCTCGCAGTAGCGTGAGAACGCCACCACGCCGCATCAGCTCATTCATTATACTCAGGCCTGGAGAGTTAGTGGAATTGGAGCGCTGTTGCAGCGTCGCATATTCATCAGTATGGGTTACAATAGTGGATTGCGATAATTGTGTGTATATGTGTATGTATGGATGTGTGGCAGAGGGCGGCATCCAGAAGGGTAGAAATAGTTTTATATGTCATACGATTAGTCGATCATTGATGCTGACTCAAACCACTACGACTTAAAGCTAACCATCGCCCAGGTTCATGTGGGACTACTAACAGGAAATAAGACCTACCTGCTGCTCATTGTTAAAGCCATGCTCGATAAAGTTCTGCTCTAGCGACAGATGATCATCGCAGCCGGACGGCAGCTCCTCGCAGCCCACCTCGTTCAGTGCGCACTTGATCATATCAACCAGTTTTTGTTTTTGCTTCTCTTGGCAGCGCAGCGCATTGAGGTCCTTTGATTGGCGACTGCAAATGTGGAATAAACGGTTGAATTCAAATCTTTGGTGACCTGATATTGTTAGCTACATACTTCTGACTATCTTTGTTCGACTGTATGCCGTTGGAAGCGCTGCTGCCGTTGGATATGACGCTGCCATTGGCAACCGGCGAGCCGCCATTTACATGCTCAATCATCTTCAGTTGTCTCTCCTGGCACTCTTTCACTGCCGACTCCAGCTCGAGCAGGCGTGTACGAAGCCAATCGACGGTTAGATTGTCCACGGTCAGGGTGCTTGCTGTTAGCTTGCCAGGTATGTCCTCGATGAGTGTTTCATCAAATTGGAAGAGCAAGGGAGTTGTGGGTGAAGTTCTGCGAGTAAGAACGAAGAATAACATATTAGTTATACATAGATGATCTAGCTCGGGGCAAAAACAAAATTTACTCAAGCTAGCTTACAACTTCACGTGTCTAATTACAATTTGCTTACAAGCTAAAAATGATTTTAGGGTCAAGCGGATGAAAAGCTTTAAGTTGTTATTATCCTTTTTCAATTTATCACCTGTGGGGTTAATTTTCCAATATCGCATTTTAATATTTTCTATGTCAATATTAATGAATTTTTAATAGATTGTTTAAAATAAAATTAATTCGCATTGGGGAAAACGAAATAAGTTCAAAGCAAAAATTTTGCATGCATTTTACAATATTATTTTTTGAAACCGATCGGACGAAAATTTAACTGTGGCTCCTACGAGCCTTGACTCTCCACCAGGAAGGTGTAATCAAGACAAACAGTTATTTCTAAGTATATATAAAACTGTTTGTCCTGACTGATTGGTGATCAACACAGAGCCCGAACCGTAAGAGCGAGAAAGCTTAAATTTGCACTGTAGTTACCTTATGTGATGAAGATCCACGTTAGAAAAATCGCGAAAAAACGTTTGTTCACCTTCCGATTGGAACCAAACTCATTTTCAAAGATCTTTGTTCAAACTGATTTTAGGGGTGTTTCACACACAAAATGCATTCCTACTTGGTGGAAATGGGGGTCAAAAAGTTTGTGGGTGACGTTTTGCGCTCAAATTCATTTCCAATCTATATGATCTATATGAAAAATCTTTTGAGACGTGTTTCACATTTTTCGCAAAATCAAAATATCCTCGGTAGAAATGCGATTCTAAGATTTTTTTGGGGTAGTTTTAACTCATGTCCGATTTGCTTCAAACTTATTTTCAAAGCTCTACATAAAAACTTAATGAATACGTGTTTCAGCGATTTAGGAAATTTTGCCCGCAACAGTGGTAAATTGGCTTACCGTCCGATCGGTTTCAAACTAATTTTTGAAGATCTTAGAGAGAATTTATTTTATACGTATCAGCGGCAAGGCCGGGGTATACACGCTAAGATAGAGCTATGTATTGTAGATTCAGTATAATACTTACTTGTGTTTCTCTGTAAATTCTCCATATTCCTCCGTCGGATTTATGCTGCTTATCACAGTGTCGATGCGTTTTTGTATCTCTTTGAATTTGTCGGCTGTCAAATCGCCATGCTGTGCCGCTTCCAAAAGTATGTTGCGCCATAAGAGTATAAAGCTCTCCTGCACTGACTGCTGATGTTCTAGCAGACCCGGCAGCAGCACTGTGCGAAAGTCCTTTTCCACCTCTATGGCCTCCGTGATGGACAGCACGTACTCATTGTGTGTAAGATGTAATTTACGGCAGGCTTTTTGATATTTGTCTCGCACATCATCCAGCTTGCGACCGCTTCGACCTGGTGCTGTAAAAACAAATAGCTCGAATACTAACACCCTTGCCAGTGCACAAAACGCCAGGGGGCACTCACCTTTTATGTAGTGCTCTTCAAAGCGCGTGCGCAACGCCTTGTAGCCCTCCAAATGTTTTTGGTATTCGCCTTTCTTTCGCACAACTTCGTCTGTAAGCTGCAATGCATACAAAAGGAACGAATGGGGGTTTTACAAAAGTGAACATGTAATGGCTGTGCCTATGATCTACTTTCCAAAGAGTTTGGTCAGTTACGTCATAAAACGTCAGCAATTAGCCCTTATCTACGAATTACTACATGCGAATACGGAAACAGGGTCTGTTACAGGGCTATCTAATGCACTTTTTCTAACGTGTGCATATCGTGCGAGTACTGTCTCCGTCACATTCTATCGCGCTCTCTCTCTATATCTCTCTCTTTCAAATGTGCAGTGAAGTGACTGGACAAAGGACAAATGACTGCCACAAGCAGCTGAGCCAACATCCGTTAGCATTGCCTACAAAGTCAACTGCTTAACTAATGGCAACAAAGTGCAGTTAGACCACGTCTGCTGCAACATTGTTGCTGCCTCAAAAGCTGCTGAGTCACTATAATGCCGTAGCATAAAAAACCAGCCAGCAGCATGGCAAGCAGATAAGAACACCTGACATCGGGCATTATGCGCCGCACTATGATTAAAAACCGGTATATACGTTTATTAGTGCGGTAGCATGCAATTCCACTGTTTTCAGATCTTATAAGTACAATTATTAACAGGGTATTTAATAGTACAGCATCCTAAGCTATTACCACGGAGTTTGTGCAACATTTTGGACTTTGGCACTAGATGCGGAAGACAGCAAATATTAATTGAAGAGTCATTTTCAACATAAAATGACTTTAAAATAGCCGTAGACACACAGAGACACATACATTAGCACATTTTATTAGCAATTAAATTCAAATTCAATTTTGCCAGCTATAACAATACATAAGTACAATAGGTAGAAATAAATAAGTAAATCGAACCAAAACTACTTGACCCACTTTGATAGCAATATATATTAGTAAATATATGTATATACATATATGTACCTCTGAAGCTCATTGATCCATAAGCTTTTATCATAGCTTACTATTGCTTGTTTATGTTTTAACAAAAAAGAGATGCTTACAAAAAAATTTTTTTTTCGAATCTGCAATATTTTGTGGCTACAAGTAGTTGGTAAGTGGTTAATCAACTTTCAATGAGCGACGCCGATAACTTGTGCAGCTGTTGGCTGCTAATTTGCCTAAAAACTTGTTGTTGCTTGGAAAGAAACTCAAGCACAAACAGTCCGAGACATAGATATATATATATATATATACATACATATATATATATATGTATATAAATACATACATACATGTACGAGGAGCGTGAAACTTGGAACAAACGGCAACAGCACAAAAAAGAAGCAAACAAAAACACTACTTGAAAGTGGGTCACGCGGCGCGTATTTTTTATTTCTGACCACGCTGAGAAGTCAATAGATATACGGGCTGTGTATACTTGGCCGCGCCCCCCATACCGTCGCACCCAGCTTCGCACATTGTTTACAAATGACTGCCAATTTTCCTGCGTCTTCGCAAAGAGTTCTGCCAAGGAAAGTTGCTGCTGGGCATCTGCGCCACCTGCGCCACTTTCTTTGCTTTTCCCACACCACTGAGCGGCTCAACAGCTGATATCAGTTCCCTGTTCCCAGCTCGTAGTCCAAATGTGAGTATATTTTCTGCATGCGCATTCATTGCTGAGACAACGCATGGCATATACATTTTGATTCTGCGAACATATGCAAATGCGGCGATGACCTAATGGAATCTGTGACAAGTTGTGCCAACTGCCACGTTTTGCATTAATCAGCTCTTTTCGGTTTTCTGTTCTCTGTGCTGTTTTTCATACCCTGTAGCTATTGAAAATGGCTACAAAAGGGGTATTATGATTTATGACAATGTATTTAATAGGCAGAAGGAGGCTCCACAGACCCCTTAAAGCATGAACATATCCCCGATCATATCCAATTGCCTAGTCGATCTTCCCATTTCAGTATGTCTGTCTGTCCGATCGCATTGATTATAAGAGCTAGAGATCATATTTGGAAGAAGCGGAGATCATGTTTTTTCGAATAATTGACATCTTACTCCGTTGCTCCAAACTCGATAGGTATCGATGTTAACACTTGGTTTTGGTTTTTTTTTTTGGCGTATAGCTTATCTCGTAGTCGGGCACTCCCGATTTTAGCATTCTTACTTCTTCTGTTGCTGTTGCCGTTTTAGTTTTGACGAAAGCGAAATTTTAAAATATTTGCAAAAGCTGTTGTTGTGTATTTTGTAAATGAAATGGCAAATAACTATGAATGTTTTGACGAAAGGTGTTCAACTAGGAATTCATATAAAAAATTGAAATCAAATTTAATTTATACCTGTTTCTGTTTTAAGTAGGTCTTTTTAACACGTTTTTGATTTTGCATGGTTTCGATTATAACGATTCAAAATCTACTTGGTTTACATTTTGGTAAAATAAAAAATATTTTCAATTATTTATTTCAAATTTAATACTCTAGAAAATGTTTAATTTAGGGAATTCTCTTTTTGTGGATACAAGGAAGAAAGCCTATTTCGTTCATTACAAGTCTGTTTTATAGTATTTGTTTTTATACCCCGAACTGATTGAAAATGGGTAAAAAGGTAATTATCTTCAAAACAAAAGGTTGTTGCCTTTTTGCGAATCTATTAATATTCTATGACTGCGGAAAATGTCATCAGGAACATTAGTTATTAAGGAGACCGTTGGCAAGTCACGTGACAGCAAGCAAAGCGCAAGTATCTCTTTAACAATCAAATAGGTAAAAATGTGTTAAGCTTGAGCTTGAGCATCATGTTTTGTTAGTTAAAGATTCGAGTGTCCCCTAGTCGGTCACTGTCACTGTCACTGTCACTGTCACACGGTCACTGCCGATTGGTCACTTATATTTGTGATTTAATAACATAGAAATATGGAACCAATCACATATTTTTGTATACGATACTTGTAGTTTCTACACGGTTTTGTCTGGAACGTGTGAAGGAAAACCCCGTTGGGGTTGAACTGTGTGTTGGTCATCAATCAGTCAGTCCGTCAATCAGGACAAACAGTTTTATTATATACATACTGGACAGTAAAAAATCACTTATTTCTTTTAACATTCCCGAAAAACCCCCCAAAGAGCAACAAAAATAGTCGGCAACAAGGAACGCACTTAAAAAAAATATCTTAATCAAGCGAAATTCAATTCATGTCTTTCAAAGAAATTGCCTTTAATAAAAATAAATTTGTCAAACGTATTGCGGAGTCGTGACGTAATAAAAAACAACCAAGCCGGAAAGCCCACAGAAGTGACAACAACAACAAACTAAAATCTAAACACACTCGTCGATGGCGGCGACGAAGCTGATTTTTGTGTGTTTCGGCATTTTTTTTTATGACGAGTGGAGCGCGTGAGACTTTTTCTTGGCTTACAATTTGAATAAGAAATGGTGGAGCAGCTGTGACAACAATAACAACAATGTGGGCCAATGATTTTCCCTTTGTTGTTTATTGTCTACTTGGTCTATAACTCAAGTCTTTGGGAAATCAATGCAACTGATTGTGTGGCATTTTGAATAGTTAAGCGCCGGGCGGTGTTTCGAGTAGGTTGCGCAACCGTTGACAGCAATAATAATAACAATAATAATAATAATGTTGATAATGACGAGGTCTTATGAAATATAAAGGCGTCTAAAATATGGCTATTTATTTAGCTAGCAATTGCAAATTATGCAAATTTCCGGACATTGGCCAGTAAACACACAAACATACACAAGTCTTTAGTCCGAACTCGAACGCGGACATTCGGGCTCGTGTCTGGGCTTGGACCTGGTGAATGAACTTCCGTCTCGCTGCTCGGTCACTAGATAACTACAATGGACACGCCAATATTTACGGCCAATTCGTTAGTAACATAGTATGCTAGTGATACTAGAAATGTGACCAGAGAGCGACATTTGGGTGTTGCTTTGTTCAACAGCTTTAATGGGACTATATGACAATATGGACATGGTTCAAATTCGCGCTCCGCCTTAATAAATTGCGATTTCGAGTATTGGCAGGAAAATACCGACAAAATAACTGACAGAATGCCACGCGGACCCACTTAAAAAGTCATTTTACATTTCCATATTATTGCATGCGGCATTTGTGCTAATTTGCATGCGTGCCAAGTGAAAACGGAGCGATGGAAAATAATTAATGTGTTAGCATAAGTTTGTCAATATGAAACGCAGGCAACACTTTCTTTTTCCGTTGAATGTCAAAAGCAGACAAAAGAATAGAATGGTAGTTGAGCAAAATTATCCCCTCAAGTGAAAGTGTGTGACAATACGAAGCAAATTTTTGTTACTGACCATCTATGCATTTGTTTCTTGAATCTCAATTTTTGGGCCAGAGCGCAGGCTAAGACGAGGTTTAATGAAAGGTCCTAATTCGCAACCGCTGTTGAACCACTTTTCAATAACAAAAGTCATTGACATGCCGCTTCGCATCTTGCTTTGCTCTTGCCAATAACTCGCCAAGCAGATTAAAACGAAATTCTGACAAAATTTAAAACGTCAAACAGGTCACATACACAAACACACACCATATACGACATTTATTATTATTATTTTTTAAATAAATAATTACGTAAAATCTCAGGAGTATTAACTTTTTCGATTCTATAATGTGATTTAATCATTAATTCAGTCGCTTATAATAATTTTATTATAAACGAGAATTTACAGGTATCTTTGACACGACGAAGATCCAATACCCTTGTAAACAGAATACTTGGACATACAAAAACTCATTTTTGGACCGATTCTTCCTATCGTGCTATTTATGTTTATAGTGCCATATTAATAAGATTTGGATCAAATGTTACCATAGCTTAACTAATAAATGCATTGATTAAGATATGTTGATAAACTAAAAGTTTTTAATATAACAACTTAATTTTTGATCGATCGTTCCTATATACACCTATATGAGTTTTCTGTAGTAGTCCGATTTTATAGGATTTTGCATATATTTAAGGAGCATAGTGTGACTTTTGGCTGCCGGGATTGGTCAAGGTATCTTAATAA